ATAGAGTTCATTGGAGCAATCCTGGACTCCAGACGTGCCCGAGCCATACTGCCAGGCAGCCGATTCCATACCATCTCAGGCGTCATTCAAGGTCTCAGGGCCTTTTCAATTACCACCATAAGAACATGCCTTGTCCTTCTGGGCCACATGGCCTCGTGTACATACGTAACCAGGCACGCCAGACTGCGACTTCGCCCACTGCAGGCTTGGGTGTCATCGGTCTACCGTCCTCATCGAGACGACCTGAACATGGTGGTCACGGTTCCGGCCTCGGTCTTGGCCTCTCTCGCCTGGTGGACGGATCGCACAGCGGTCTGTGCAGGAGTACCCTTTCACGCCCCGCAGCCCTCCCTCCACCTAGTTACGGACGCTTCATCTCTAGGCTGGGGCGCTCACCTGGGGGAGCACCATACCCAAGGCCTGTGGTCCGCGTCCCAACTAGCCCTGCACATCAACGTCCGAGAGCTGATGGCGGTGCGCCTGGCTTGCCAGGCTTTCCTCAACTTCCTACAAGGCCGTTGCGTGCTGATTCTCACCGACAACACCACGGCCATGTTTTACATCAACAAGCAAGGCGGAGCTCGCTCATCTCCCCTATGCCAAGAGGCCATTCGCCTGTGGGAATTCTGCATCGCCCACTCGATTCATCTCACAGCGTCATTCCTGCCTGGAGTCCAGAATATGCTGGCGGACCGTCTCAGCAGGTCCTTCCAGACGCACGAGTGGTCGATTCGCCCGGACATCATTTATTCCGTCTTCCAAAGGTGAGGGTTTCCCCAGATCGACCTATTCGCGTCTCGGACCAACAGGAAGTGCCAGGCATTCTGCTCCCTACACGGGCGAGCCCCGGGCTCTCGGTCGGACGCCTTCCTCATGGCATGGAAAGACCACCTGTTCTACGCCTTTCCTCCATTCCCGCTGGTCCACAGGGTGCTGCTCAAGATCCGCAGGGACCATGCACGGGTAATTCTAGTCGCTCCCGCTTGGCCGAGACAGCACTGGTACACCACACTGCTGGAGCTGTCAGTACAGAGGCCCATCACGCTCCCCTTGACTCCGAATCTCATCTCTCAGGACCACGGCCGGCTGTGTCACCCCGACCTGCAGTCACTCCACCTCACGGCGTGGATGCTTCATGGTTGAGTCGGTCAGAGCGGCAATGCTCCCAGGCCGTCCAACAGGTTCTGCTGGGAAGTAGAAAGCCCTCTACGCGGACCACTTATTTAGCCAAGTGGAAGAGGTTCTCCTGTTGGTGTGAGCAACAAGCTACGTCTCCCGCGCAGGCTCCTATCCCCTTGATACTGGAGTACCTTCTGTCCCTAAGACACCAAGGCTTGGCGACATCCTCAATTAGGGTTCACCTCGCCGCCATTTCCGCTTTCCACCGAGGAGAACTCACGTCCTCGGTCTTCTCTAACCCGATGGTCGTTAGATTCCTCAAGGGCCTAGACCGGCTGTACCCACAGCAACGACAGCCGGTTCCGACGTGGAACCTCAACCTCGTCCTCTCCAGGCTCACAGGGCCTCCGTTTGAACCACTGGCGACCTGCTCACTCCTCTACTTATCCTGGAAGACAGCCTTCCTCGTAGCCATCACCTCAGCACGACGCGTCTCGGAACTCAGGGCGCTGACATCCGAGCCCCCTTACACGGTGTTCCACAAGGACAAGGTGCAGCTTCGCCCCCACCCTGCCTTTCTTCCAAAGGTGGTGTCACCTTTCCACGTAAACCAAGATATATTTCTTCCGGTCTTCCATCCGAAACCGCACGCTACTCGTCAAGACCAACGTTTACATTCTTTGGACGTTCGCAGGGCCCTGGCTTTCTACATTGACCGTACAAAGCCATTTAGGAAAACGACGCAACTCTTCGTTGCGGTGGCCGACCGGATGAAAGGCTCACCGGTCTCTTCACAGTGCCTGTCCTCTTGGATTACGTCCTGCATTCGTGCTTGCTACGACCTGGCCGGTGTACCGACGCCACGCCTCACTGCTCATTCCACGAGGGCCCAGGCCTCCTCGACTGCCTTTCTGGCTCAAGTACCAATCCAGGACATTTGTAAAGCTGCAGTGTGGTCATCGGTCCACACATTTGCTACTCACTATGCGCTGGTGCAACAGTCCAGAGACGATGCTGCTTTCGGATCAGCGGTTCTGCACACAGCAATGTCTCACTCCGACCCCGCCACCTAGGTGGGGCTTGGGAGTCACCTAACTGGAATGGATATGAGCAAGCACTCGAAGAAGAAAAGACGGTTACTCACCGTTGTAACTGTTGTTCTTCGAGATGTGTTGCTCATATCCATTCCAAACCCGCCCCCCTTCCCCACTGTCGGAGTAGCCGGCAAGAAGGAACTGAGGGGGCGCTGGGTCGGCTGGGGTATATATCCAGCGCCATAACGGCGCCACTCCAGGGGGCTCCACAGCCGACCCACCGGGTGTTGCTAGGGTAAAAATCTTCCGACGATCGTGCACGCGGCGCGCACACACCTAACTGGAATGGATATGAGAAACACATCTCGAAGAACAACAGTTACAACGGTGAGTAACCGTCTTTTTCCCTGGGATCATGAATGGGAGATAGACGAGAAAACCATTTACAACATATTCCGCATTTGGGGTCATCCAACCATAGACCTTTTTGCAACTGCGAAAAACATGAAATGCCCCAACTTTTGCTCCAGAGCGGGACTGGGCAAACATTCCCTGGGAGACGCATTCATGATTCCATGGGACCGAAACTTACTCTATGTGTTTCCCCCGATACAGGTTCCCAACAGGGTCCTGATAAAAATACGAACACACCGTGCCAAGGTGATCCTGATTGCCCTGTCATGGCCCAGACAACCGTGGTTTCCGTTCCTCAACAGAATGTCGATTTGACCACCAATTTCGTTGCCTCTCATCCCGAACCTCCTATCACAGCAAAACGGCCGATTTCTCCACCCCAACCTGTCCATGCTTCACCTCAAAGCCTGGTTCCTACATAGTTCTCCCAAAACGAACTAGATTGCTCTGAACAAGTTCAAAGAGTGCTCCTACATAGCAGAACACAATCTACTCGCACCACCTATCTACGAAAGTGGAAACGATTCACACATTGGTGTTCAGCTAAACAACTTTGTCCCACGTCGGTACCTCTCCCGCTCATACTTGACTACCTATTGGACCTTAAGCAATCTGGCCTTTCTTTCCGCTCCATCAGAGTCCATTTAGCTGGTATTACAACCTTTCATGGCAGAATTGATGATACCTCTGTCTTTGCTCATCCAATCACCAAGCGTTTCCTCAAGGGACTCCAAGCCCTATACCCAGACATTAAACCACCTACCCCTCCGTGGGACCTTCATTTAGTACTATCCTGCCTAACTCAGCAACCATTTGAGCCCCTAGCCACTTGCTCGCTTTTACACCTTTTGATGAAAACAGCATTTTTAGTGGCAATTACCTCCACCAGACGAGCGGGAGAAATAGCAGCTCTTATGGCAGACCCACCATATACGCTATTCAAGGACAAGGTTACCCTTAGATTACAGCCCAAATTTCTTCCAAAGGTGCATTCCTCCTTCCACATTAATGAGCCGATACACCTACCGACCTTCTTTCCGAAACCACATGTGAACTCGTTCGAAGCCACGATGCATACATTAGATGTACGCAGGGCCTTGTCCTATTTGGATAGAACCAAACCTTTTAGAAACTCTTCTAGACTCTTTGTCTCTATCGCGGAGCATTCCAAAGGGACTCCTATTTCTACCCAGCGACTTTCAAACTGGATTTCTCAGTGCATCCGATTGTGCTATCAGATGAAGAAGGTTACACCTCCAGCCGGCATCAGAATTCACTCCACTAGATCTCTGGCTGCCTCTGTGGCTTTCTTACGCAAAGTTCCCCTGGCTGACATCTGTAAAGCAGCCACTTGGTCCTCTGAACTCACATTTGTTAAACACTATGCCCTTACTCAGGGCCCTCTCTCTGATACACGATTGGGCAGAGCTGTACTATCTATGGCATTCCTATCAGATCCGAAGTCCCTACCTCCTTGAGACATACTGCTTTTAAGTCACCTGGAGTGGAGCACCCACAGGGACATCTCTCTCGAAGAAGAAGAGGTTACTCACCCTGTGCAGTAACTGACGTTCTTCAAGATGAGTGTCCCTGTGGGTGCTCCACTACCCACCTTCCTCCCCTCTACTTCAGAGTTGGGGTAGCCTCCGTTGTAGAGAAGGAACTGAGGAGACCGGCCGCGCATGCTCACTATTAAGCTAGACTCAGAGCGGGGGGCAGGCTCTACGCATGCGTGTCCGGTATGAGTACTGCTACAAAAATCTCCGAGCAAAGGCGCAGGAACGCACCAACACCTGGAGTGGAGCACCCACAGGGACACTCATCTCGAAGAACGTCAGTTACTACACAGGGTGAGTATGAGTAACCTCCTCTTACTTTCCTAATCTGCTCATTTTGGTGCATGTTAACCTACACTTTAAACTGTCCTTGCAATTAATCCTATGACTAGTACAGAATCTCAGTGCAAGAATTCCCTTCTCATTTTTAAGAAGCGAAGGAAATTAGCTATAAAAGTTACATTAATGCAGCATTGGGACTGAGATTTTACAGACACCAAAGCCAAGAAAGTCTGTTATTCCCAGGTGACCATAACTTGGCTCCACTGTACATGCCCGCACTTTTCCATTAGAGATCATATAAAGTGGTAGAAGAAGCTAGATCAATGCAATGGGGCCAGTTTACATGATCTCTGTGGAATCCATAATTCACAGCTTTTCATATAAAAACTCCAGCCATAACATTGCTTTTAATAAATTTCCAGGTTTAAGGTGAAGGAGGATGCAAGGAATTTGATAGAATTAATGAGTTGCAATACTAAAAGTTAAAAACACTTCAAATAGAAATAAGTGTTTGTTTTGTTGCAATGTCTGACACATTTAACTCAAAATTTGTTATACAAAAAGGTGTGTTTAATAAATGTTTCTCTTCCCTTAGGTATCTCAGACAATTGATGCAATGTCTTTTTCTCTGCCTCATGACTGGGATAACAGAACCATGTATTTACATTCTCCCTTTTCTTCAGGACAGAACTGCATTCCCTTTCATGGTTTGTTATGCTTCATTTACATTTTTCAGTGTATGACTGGGAGACCTGAAGCATAAAAATGGGGGCCCTGCCTTGTTCTCTGGTCCTTGCTTTTGAGTCATGGAGAGTAGAGGGATTTGTTCATAAAGTCAGTTTGGACTGAACCACAAGCTGGGAAGCCAGATGAATGGGCTTCATCTTTCCAAGGCAGGCCTCATAGTCTAGGAGCATGTTAATTCCCTGGGCAAGTTAATGGTAGAAAGGTAAGGGATGTGTCATTTTATTGATAAATATCTACAGAATCATAATTTCAATGATGTCATTTTCTGCGGCATGACAGGGGGGGTCTTGCTGCCATCCCCTGGCTCCAAACTCCACGTCCTACAATTGGTTGAAATTTTGATAATACAGTGTTTTCAGAAATGGCTTGAGTTGGGTGAGCTCTTTCTCACATCAATACAATGGTACCAGACATGACAAGCCTATAACAATTAAGTAGATATATATTCAAAAAATGTTCAAAAATCAATTTTTTAAATTGTAATTTAACACAGGCTTGTCAAACGTATAGCCCTCACAAAGTTAAATTGTGGCCCTCAACTGACAGTACTGTGATGTCAGTTAATGCACACCACATACCTGACTAATATTTTGTAATGTTCCCGATTACCATAAATAGGAGTGCTTCAAGTTGATTCGCCATCATCAGCAAAAAAGAAGCGGTTTAGTGTTATTGATTGTCAACTTTGTTTATCATTTCAAAAGAGCTGTAGTGAGGCAATGGTTAGGACGTCAGCATCCAGCCAGAAATTACTGGAATCCATCTGCAAATGGTATGCGCATCGTTACCTAACATACATGACATAATTAATTACAATCCCAAAGTAATTTATTACAAAATCCTTGTTTTTACTGTGGTCTTGATAGTTTTAGACATCAATGGGGAAATGAAGCATACCGACTAGTAGCTGAATCTTTGGACAATACCACCGCGGAGGACCTGGTTAAACACAACGTTTAGGGGCATCTTACATGCTATAAGACATGCACCCATAAATTTAGGAAGGTTGGAAAGGAAGTACATCAAGCATCAGGAAAAAGTTGAAGATGCTGGGACAAGTGCCCGCTGTGGGCAAGGTTCACCTTATACTAGGCCCCCTGGCATGTGTTTCAAGAAGAACATCTGTTTCTTCTGTGGGAAGCCAGAAGGAACCCATTAAGCACTGTTTCAACACATGAGATGGGTGAGAAACTGTATGAAGCAGTCAAATTTTGGTGAGAATGTTGCATGGAAAATAAAGGTAAGTGGTGCATTGACACAAAAGATAGCCCCGCATATGACATTGCGTATCATATTGAGTGTCACACCAAGAATGTATGTAAACCATACTTATTTTTCTACTGCAAACTGTGGGACTCAGCGGGAATTGATAAATTGCCACATAGGTGCTTTGAATGGGATTGAAGAGGAACAAATGTTTAGCAGAAAGGCTCTTAAAGCATTTATTGAAGATGAACTATGGGATGTGGACACAGTTTTAGCAATCCTGTCTGCAGAAATGAAACACAGCGCATATCCTTAAAAGATCCAAAAAATGTGGCACTATCAAAAGCAAATGCATGTCTTGCATGGCCTTTCTAAGCCAGCACTTACTAACAATGTGACTGGTACCTTATTGCAGCAGAGGCCTTTCTGCATAGCAATTAGAGAGAGTATGGCCGAGGTACAAGCTCTCAACAAACCGTTAACACCTGCCAAGACTTGACTGAACACTTCATTATGAAGACACAGAGGAAATACTGAACCTATGACAAAGTCCACCTCCTGTTTGAAATGAATGCAGAGGAATCAATTAAAAAATTAAATTAAAAAATTACCGGAAAGAAGAGACTTCATGGTATTGCACCTCTTCAATACAAAATAATTGACTCCACGAACATCTCCAATGTCACAATGAAGAAGTTACTGTCACATATTCTCATGAAGGACAGGTTAACCCTATACTTTATAGGAAAAACGCTCCAGCATGCGAAAAATTGCTCAAAGAATTTAGTCATTTCATGGTGTAATGAAGCTACTTCCTCACACTATTCAGTGGAGTTCCTTCATAGTTCCCATCGGGAGGCTGTCATTAATTATGTTGCATGCCATCAATACCGCAGAGAGAGGTGCTACTGAACTCCAGATTTTTGTACAAGACACATGTTCTAGTGCCCTATGTGAGGCACTACCTAAGACTTCCACAAGATTGTTTTTTGTGCTTGCTGTTGGGGAACAGAATTGCTGTATGTCCCTTAGAGATGTGTTCCTATTACTCGGACTATTAAAAGTCACTGCACTCCCAGGCTTCCACGCCCTCTCAGGATGTGGCACTACTGGAAGGTTGACTGGAAAGACCAAATTATCTTAGCGGACAGTATTTGATTCAGCCTCCAAAGATACTCTGTTTGCTCTGAAGGTGCTTGGAATGGCTGAGACAGTCACTTATGAGGTCATAAATGCACTGGAGGCATTCATATGCCTGGCTTACAATTTGAAGACCAGCATTATGACACTTGCAGAGCTATGTTGATGGACGTTTTCCAAGAAGCAGACAAACTGAGAAAAATTGCCACTAAGATGGGGTGCAGTTATACCTGCTATTAAGAGGGCAAATTGTCAAGCAATGGAATGGCTCTGGGATGATTTAGTGCATCCAAAGCTACCCTTCCCAACCGGGCATGGATGGGTCTTGGAGGATGGACTGATCATATCAATTACGTGTGAAATACGATGCACTTCTAAATCAATCTTTCAGCTAATCAACTGCTTGTGCAAAGACCAGATGATAACCACACTGCAAATGTTAGGCCAGCAACCTGCCTTGTATATAGAGATGCAAGAGCAGCATGGATGAGGATCAGTATGATAACGTGTTTATCAGTGGTTCCCTAGACCGAGACGACACTGATGATGACTTTGATGAGTAAATGTTTTTAGTCCTACATGACCAGGCTGACTTCCCTAGGTTTACCAAAAGTCAATGTCTCTCTTTTGTTACGTAAGCAATGCATCCCTGTTTTAAAGCATAATTTTAAAAAGTTGATTTCTAAATATTTTCTCTCGCATGTATCTACATAATTGTTCTAGGTTTGTCATGTTTGGTACCAGTAGACCATGGAAGAAAGGTCTTTCGAATGATACCCAACTTGAACCATTTCCAACAACATTGTATTATCAAAAATTCCATCAATCGGAGGGCCTGGAGTTGGGAGCCAGGCAGGCAGTGAGTGCCCGCTGCCATGCTGCAGAGGGTGACACCATTGAAATGGCACTTCTGTAGATTTTTACTAATCAAATGACACCTCCACTATCGTACTGATCTGTTGCCTAGCATAGATGGTCTAACGTGGACCAAACCAGTACAAATGGCATCTTTCCACCTGTCTCAAAAGCCACCCTTGTTGCTTCCTGCCTTTCACTCCAGACATTTGCTGCTTCAGATGCCAAGGTCTGGCCTTATATTTAGTTTTTACTTTTGTGTGCTGTTAATATGGAACTTAACTGTAGTGATAATTGTACGTTTATTTACGTATTCCAATTTAGAACAGTCTTTCTAGAATGTTATGGTGTAAAATTAAACAAAGAGATGCTCTAAAACTCCACAGTCAGTTATGGATTCAGTACACATTTCATTTGCACAGAGTCCTTGTACAAAAATGTTCATGTGTTTACATAAGAATTTTGAGTTATGCCTTAAACTGCTTTAAAAGCTCAATGGAAAAGATGGGTGTATTAAAGCTTAACAGTAATTATACAGTGAGAAACAGTTTTAGGTATCAGCCTTTAGTTTCAGTTAGAGATTTACAAAAGTATTGTATTAGTAACTTCCCCCGCCCATCCTTGGCTTTACTGTGGATTCTCTCCATGGTTTTGTATCTGATTCACCTTTTTCTTTTGTGATTCTGAAAATCTTTCTCCTTTGATTCAAAGGACCATTATTTAACTCACTCTCTCATATTGCTTCAAATTGGTGAGAAGCAGCTAAGACAGATGCCTGTCCCTCAGCCTATCAGCTGAGATAGAAATCATAACCCAGACACTGAATAAGTCATTTTTATGATGGTGACCCAGAGAGTTTGACGGGGCCATTCCCAGTAAAAGTCTCCACCACCATATGACTGCCCACAAGTTACTGCACAGGCTTTTATCTTTTCTTTAGTTACATTGTTGTAATTAGAGATGAAAAGTGAAGTATCTGACCAGATTTATTAGAGATGTTTTGCACAAAGACTGTTAGTTAAGCATAAAAAATCTTCCCCAAATTTTCCTTTTTATTGATTTATGTACTATTGGCAGTAGCAGATTTGCCATGGTGCCGGGCCCACACTCCAGGGGACCCCGACCAGGCCCACTCTTCGCCCCCCCCCCCCCTGCAGGCGGCAGAAGCTTGGTGCTGCTGGCACTGAGGCTCCTACTGTAGTAGGGCAGCCAAGCTCCCCCTCCCCTGCCTTTTCTCACAGCTTGCTGCGTTCCCGCCCTCCCCCTCCCTGCCGCCCATCAACTGTTTGCCGGCAGGAGGGAGGGGGAAGAGCGGAGCCGCAGCATGCTCGCCACTGGGGAGAGGAGGCAGAGAAGGGGCGGGGCTTTGAGGAAGGGGGTGGAATGAGCATACCTATTCTGTGAACGCAGAGCTGCGTAGCCCGGCTGAAAAAAGAAGGTGCTGCTCAGCTCCCTGGACTTTGCAGCTGGACACCGCCTTCTGGGTCCTAGTGCTGGTTGAGCTCCCTTCTGTGTGCTGGGAGCCATCCTTCATTTTGAACAACAGTGAGTGCCCATGGTTGGACAGAGGCAGTGGGGAAGGAAGGTGCATGGGATTGGGAAGAGAAGGGGATAGGGCAGGGATCGGCAACCTTCGGCCCGCGGCCCGCCAGGGTAAGCCCCCTGGCGGGCCGGGCCAGTTTGTTTACTGCCGCATCCACAGGTTCGGCCGATCGCGGGTCCCACTGGCCGCGGTTTGCCATTCCAGGCCAATGGGAGGCTGCGGGAAGCAGCGTGGGCTGAGGGATGTGCTGGCTGCAGCTTCTTGCAGCCCCCATTGGCCTGGAGTGGCGAACCGCGGCCAGTGGGAGCTGCGATCAGCCAAACCTGCGGACGCAGAAAGTAAACAAACCGGCCTGGCCCGCGAGGGGGCTTACCCTGGCGGGCTGCGGGCCAAAGGTTACCGATCCCTGGTATAGGGGAAGCGGGTGCCCAGCATGTGGATCCCCTTGGCAGCAGCTGGGGCTCCCCTGTTAAGCAGTCCCATCAAACCCTGACCCTGACAAGCTCCACCTCCCCTGCATCTGTACCACCCCAATGAGCCCCCCCGACACCCTCCCCACTGAGCCCCAACCACCTACACCCCCACCCAAATGAACCCCACCTCCCCTGCACCCAGACTCCACCCCCACCCCCGCTGAGCTCCAACCACTTTCACTTGGTCCCCCCTGCAGACTCCCATTGCCCCTGCACCTGGCACCTCCCTGTGCATCCAGATCCCCCACTGAGCTGTCTGCACCTAGACTGTCCCACACAGAACCCTCTTACCCCCCACACAGAACCCTCTTACCCCCATCTGGATACCCCCACACTAAGTCCCTCTGCACTTGGATCCTGCTGCCGGGCTGAGCCTCCCTGCCCACATCTGGTGTGCCTGGGGCAAAAGGGGCAGGGCCCCAGGGTGTTTCTGTGGTAGGCATGGCCCTTGTTCTGTGGCAGGGTCAGGTTCAGCCTCACTGCCAAGTCCCTGTCCCAGGGGTCCGGGGGAGGCTGCAGGGTATTTTCCCACCTCCATGCAGCTAGTGGCCTGTGCTCCTCACTGCCATGGTGGAGCTCCCACATTTATTTATTGTAAAAAAAAATTTAAAAAATTCAGAATTTTAAAATATTATGCACAGAATTTGATGCAGAATTCTCTCAGGAATATGGGGCACTGTACAGCTGTGATGGTGGGACTGTGAAGCGGGTGCTGGACAGTAGGGGAGCTGGGCAGGGGGTATGGTGTGCCGGGTGCTGTGCAGATGTGGTGGGAGGTCAGTGGGAGGGGTCTCTAGGCAGGGGGTGCTGGGCATAGGGATCTGTGGGGGAAGTCTCTGGGTGAGGGGGCACTGGCATAAGGGCAGGGCACTGGGCAGGGGGCAGTGTGGAAGGGGCACGCTGGCAGCACAGGGCTGGGCAGGCCAGTGTGCATCTAGTAGTTTTGGGTTTGTAAACAGTGCCCTTGTGCTGGGCTGTGTGGGGCCACTCCTGCCGCACTGCGCCTCATTGCCCCCAACCGGCCCCTCGCTCTGTGGACGGCCCCCCATCACATGCCCTATTTCCCCAACGGGGGCCCACAAATATGTTTGGCGCCGACCCCAGAAAAAGTTAATCCGGCCCTGACTATTGGGAAAGAATTTTCTAAATCTCTGTATTTATCACAAGCCTTGACATTAGAAAATTAAAATTTTTGTTTTGTTGTTGTAGCCATTAGCGCAGAGCTGGATGAGCTGCTGATGGAGGCCCATTTGCTACAGGTTTCACTGCCTGAAATACAAGAGCTCTACCAGATCTTATTCACAAAGCACAGCCCTGTTCTGCAAACAGAACAGAGGTCAGCAATAGGACCAACAAGTGAAAAGGCAGGTATCTGACAACACCACAGATCCCTCTGTTTGGGGCCCTTCCCAAGCAGAGAGGTTCTGGCTGGACTCCGTAAACTTCAAAAGTGTGTGTGTGTCTTCAGGACGGGTTGGGAACTTTGTGCAACTCTCTCTGCAGGTTTCTCTGTCTGTGAATATAATTTGTGTTGCATTTCTGCATCCTGAAACTGCATTTGCTGGTCATTTTTATGACTTAATTATGGCCATTCTGATTCTAATAGTAACCAGATACTAATGAGTCCAGTGGGGAAGAGGAGGCTTTTCCTTGGAAACTGGAAACTTGTAAACCTGCTTTGGAGGAGAGAAAGAAAGGAGGGAGTCACTCATTCATTCCAACTCTTGCTTTGACCCAATATTCAGCCCTTAAGAATAGCTGCAGAGTGAGTGTGTTTAGTGTGCCATAGAGGGCGGCCCTCCTTTCAGTGTAGCAATGCATGGGTGATATGTCGGAGGGGAAGATAGATCACTGAATAACGGATTAGAGTCCTTAGGGTTTTGCTTCAATATCCTTCCCACTAGAACGAGTGCTGCCGGGGGAAGAGAGATGGAGTTGGTTCTGTGGAGAGAAAATTAAAAAGGCGCTTTGAAAGAGAGGGCTTCTGTGGTGAAAAGAGAGCAAGAGTAAAAAAACTGAGAACACCCAAAAAGAAGAAATTGAAACTGAATCCCTCCAAGGATCTCAGCAATAGCAAACTGGAGAGAGAGCGAGAACGGCTTTTTGAGGTGCAGCGCTCCAGCGAAAGCCACTTGCTTCCCTTGGATATGTCGTTCTCTGAGCAGGAGGACTCGGAGGATGAAGATGCAATCTGCCCTGCTGTGAACTGCCTGCAGCCTGAAGGAGATGAGGTCAGTGAATGGGAAGCCTGCTGTGGGGCACTGAATGCAGGGAGCAGGTGATATCAGAACTGCTCCCTAATCCTTTTGTTAGACCAACATTATCGACAAAGAGAGTGAGAGCTATTTCAGACACTGGGCACCTGGAAAACCTGAGGAGCTCATCCTTGCCTTTAGTCTCTTCCCTACAGGAACTTTTATTTGAGTACCTGGCAACTATTGGAACCACTTAGAGTAGAATCACATTTTCATAGGAACTTCTCCCAGTGTCTCCAGTAACTCACTTTTCAGGTAGACAGAAGTAGCTCTAAAAGGGGCATTTGGCAGCTGGCTGCTGCTTGCTGCATCTCCTATTAAGCTTGGAGGGTGGTCCTTACAATTCCGGATTTCTTACAATCCTTCTGTGTTTCTTTGATAGAAAAGTTACTACTGTTTCTCCTTAAAGGCTGCTTGAAAGGCTGTTTTTAAAAATCTTAGGTTGTGTCTACACACACAGTTTCCACCAGCTAAATCAGTTTCTCAACTGAAATATCAAAATCAACGCAAGCCCCTTTGAGTGGACATTCCTAAATCAGTTTAAGAATGTTTGGTGCCAATTTAATGTAGTTTGGCTTGTCACCAAATAAATTGATATTAGTCACGTTATGGTGCAGCTGACCTGCCCATTGTCAGGCTGGGCCCATGCCTCACTTTCCCCACTGGCTGGATGGTTCTGGCTGAGCCAAAAAAATCCCCTTTCCAGGGTAGACAGAGTCCAAAAAGGCAAACCATACCAAATTCCTTGGGTACTGCCCCCTCAGAGTCTTGGAGCACCTTCATTTTCTCAGAGATTCTCCCCTCTTAATGCAAGGGTCTCAAATGGGCCTTCTAAGGCTTCTTTGGTAGGCTTCTTTCTTTAGCACTTTCCCCTTGCAAAGATCAGCACACCTGCCTATCCTTCATCTCCTCCTTGGCAGAGAGAAACTCAGCAGGTCCTACCATATCCCTGATCCTCCCCCAGACTGAGGAAAGCAAGTCTTTTTATATCCAACATGCTTTAGCATCTAAGGGTTACTGGGCTACAAGTTCCAGAATTTCTCTGTTATTGGGAGAAACCCTGTCTCAGGAGTAAGCTGAACTCTGTGAAAGGTATAAGCTCTGTGATACCACTAGTAAACCAATTTGTGTGCCCACACAAAGGGGGTTGCTCTAATTTTACTGAATCAGTTTCTAACCCAATTTAGTTTAATTCGTGTGATTTCTGAGAGTGGCTAAGGCAGCAGTTCTCAACCCGCGGCCCATGGGCTGCATGTGGCCCAATTAGCACACAGCTGCAGCCCAGCTGTGTGCTAAAAAAAAATTCAAGATTTGCTGTTCTGGTCTGATAGGGGGCAGGCCTGGCTGAGGGGGAGACAGCGTCTGGCAGCCTGCAGGAGGGGGCTGGTGAGTGGAGCAGGAGAGTGGGTCTCTGGGCAGGTTTGGGGCGGGAGGGGCCTCTCAGCTGTGAGGGAGTGGGCGGCGCTGGGAACCAGGGGTTTGCAAGGTGCCAGGTTTTAGCTGCCTGGGGCTCCACTCCTGGCCTGGCACAGGGGTCCTGGCTACCCGGCCACTCAGGGTGGCGGTCCAGAGGCCAGCTGCCTGGCCCCATACAGTGGGGTCCCGGGGTCCAGCTGCCCAGCCTCGCACCGCGGGGTCTGGATCCCCCACCCAGGGCACCCCTCCTGGCCCCCTCTGTGGAGGGGGTTCTGAGCAGGGGGGCACGCTGGGCATAGGGGACTGTAGAGGGTTTGGGGGCGGGTGCTGTGGTTCTCAAGCTGTGGCCCACATAACACAATAATAAACAGGTTGAGAACCAATGGGCTAAGGCCTTAGTGATGCAGTAAAAATAATGCATGGAGCTCAGCCATTCCTTCTCCCTACACCTCTAACAGGTAACATGGAATGAGGTTTTTTTTTCCAAACAGAAATTTTCATGATGAGGTCACAGGGCGGAGCTAACAACTTCTTGGCCTATATCCTTCTGGGTTTCAAATTATGCAGTTCTTATTAGGACACAGTAGATTTAAAACTTAAATTGCTTTATGTACATTTGTTCTCAGCTCTTGTTAAGTTACAACATCAGCTTCTGAAAGTAACAGTGATTTAGACAGAGAACTCCTTCTGTTCTTCTGGCAACTTTGGGCCAGATTTTGAAAGGTGTTTAAGGGCCTAAAGATGCAAATAAGCACCTAGTGGGATTTTAAAAATCACCTAGTGCCTAACTTCCTACATGATGACATCCCTGTCCATTGCTTTTCTGGAGGAGTGCACACCCTTTCTCAGCCACTCTAGGAGCCTCACCAGTACAGCTTCCCCACAGAGCTTGGGAACTAAGATGGTCCCTCTTCCCTACCTGGAACTGTTCCCAGAGTCAGAGAGGAAAGCTAAGCAGTCACCATTCTTTCAGACTCCAGCACCAAACCTGGCAGGAGAGTGTCTGCATTGAGCCAGAGTGATGCAGTGAAGGGATGACAGGGGGTGCAAGCAGGCTGTGTCTCCATCAATGCCCCTGGGATACAGGTATACGAAGGCTTCATGGCTTGGGCAGACAGGAGCAATGGGAGACTCCCTCTGGCCCCTGCATAGCAAAACATAATAAGAGGCAAAGCGGGAGGGTGGAGGCTTCACACAGGCCTCCCTCACTGGGCTGGGAATGACTGGAAGGAGGGAGCTCTGCATAGACCTGGGGAGAGATGTGGGCATGTGGAGCCATCCTTGAATTTAGCAGCAAAGAGCATTCCACCCCCACTGCCTGTACAGAAGGCTGGGAGAGCACCAGAAGCCCAAGAGAAAATCTTAGGGCATTAGAGATTATTGCTCTCATGTTCACTGAGCATAGACACTCCCCTATGCAGTACAAAGGAAAGCACCATGTGGCAGCAGGCAATTGATGTGCCCAGTCCCAGGATTGTACATGCACAGCAGGGGCTGAGTTGTATATTCATGCCCCCTTGGTGCCTGTGTTAGCTCCCCTACTGTTTGTGAGGGTTGCGCACAGTGACGGGAGAAAAACTTCAAAAAACAAAATTCAAGCCCCCTCCTCAGGGTTTTAAACTGTGTGCGAGTGGTAGGGAGGACACTGCTCTTCACCACAAACTGCTTTAGTTACATTTGTGAAACTGACCACAGTGCAAGCTGACTGTGCCCCTAGCAGTCACTAAGCCAGTCCCTCAGGGTAGAATGTTGGCTGGTTCAAGTAGGTAGATTGCTAAGAGCTTGAAGATAATTTACCACAGAAGGTTTGCACTTTATCTGCTGCCTTTTTCTCTGAACACTAATCTGTCTGCTCTTTGCAATTAGGTGGACTGGGTCCAGTGTGATGGCAGCTGCAATCAGTGGTTCCATCAGGTATGTGTGGGCATTTCTCCTGAGATGGCAGAGAAGGAAGACTACATCTGCATCAGCTGTACTGGGAAGGACTCTCAATATTGAAAGTAAAACTCACCAGAAGTCAGGACTCCATTAAGGAAGGTTATCAGAATTTCTCCATAAAGTCACAGGGCTAGTTTAAGAGCCAGGCTGCAAATGGTGCTACTTCTATCCTCATGGGATCATTTTTCAGAACTCAAACAATTTTTGACACTTTTGTATTTTTTTTCTCTTGAGCTATTTGTGGTTGTTGAGATTTGAAATGCTGACTGTTTAGTAGGGGTTTCCTCCAGTTTGGAAGGCATTTGAAACATGCACCTTTTATTGTACAGCATTAAATTACCTCTCTCTGGGATATACCAGCATACATAATTCAACTTCGTTTAGGTGCAGAAAAACTGCACCATGAATCCCAATAGATCCTCTTTTGAGGATATCCCTTGTTTACTCTGTTAACTCTTCGGAAACTTTAGTTTTTTTCACTTTGTATTTTTTTTGTAGACTAGGTTTATTTATCTGAGCAATAACTTCTATGTCTGGTTGCAGTGACTGGAATTACAATTCTGAACAGCGTGTTGGTGCTTTTAGCATTGGTTGATGTACAGAAAGCAAATGTTTAAGGTCCTAGTGTCACTGATGGACTAGCGCGGTAGAAGACAGAAAAAGCTCTGTAAAGTAATTGCCACTGCTGTATTTTGGCTTTCTCCTTTTTTTGGGTAGCTTGTATCAAATGTTGCAGTTTCTATTGTGGAATAAACCCCTGGTTATGTTATAAAATTAAATGGTGATGTTTTTAGAGAGCTTGAAATGCAGTTTCCCTTTCCTTCATGATTGGTCGTTACATTAATGGGCTCCACTTGCTCGAGAAAAGTCCACTATTTATTTCTTTATTTTAAGGAAAATGAACTAGAAAAGCCACGGTATTTTTTTTTTACTCTGTCTTCAGTGTTGGAAGAAGAAATCAAGATCAAATTATTCACACTAAATACATTTTTCAAAAAACTTCTATTTCAATTCAAAAGGGTTTTCTACTAGATTGGATTAGTTAAGGGGTCAGGAGAAAGCTGCCAGGGGGAATCTCTAGCATGAGAGGTTGGGAGAGGAGCTGCTGCTGCTGTAGGGGTATGAGTTACAATTGACTCATCAGAGAACAGACATGAAGCTGGAGTGGTACAGCTCATCTCCCCCAATCACATCTAGTTGTTGTCAAAAGGAGTGGTTACCCCTAAAGTTGGGTCAGCAAAGCACTTGCTTGTGATCTACAGAGAGCTGGCTGGTCACATGGTGCTGGCACTTCCTTGTTTCCAGATCCTTCTACTCATTTTAAGGCTTTTAATGGCAAAGAGCCTGGATGCTCATAAAAGCAGCTGTCAACAAGGAAGAGTCAGTCAGTCTAGCTATCTTTGATAGGGACTGCTACTATCAGGACTGCCTTCAGAGGCCATAACTGCCAATGGGGGACAGAGCTGCCAGCCATCATTGGAATAAGAATGGCATGGGGAGAAAAGAACAAGATAGCCAAGCAGTGTGTGCACAGGAGCAGGCAGAGAAGAGGTGATTGGAAAAAAAGCAAATGCAATTTTAGGTTGCATTAACAGAGGCATAGCATGCAAGTCACGGGAGGTGATAGTATTGCTCTACTCGGTGCTGGTTAGGCCTCACCTGGAGTACGGTGTCCAATTTTGGTCACCAATGTATAGAAAGGATGTAGAAAAACTGGAAACGATCCAGAGGTGAGCAACAAAGGTGATCAAAGGAATGGATGCAAGCCATATGAGCAAAGGGTGAAGGAACTGGGTATGTTTTGTTTGGAAAAGAGGAGATTAAGCGGTCTTTACATACTTGAAAGGCTGCCATAAAAAAGATGGCGAGAAGTTGTCTTTTCTTGCCAGAGAGGGTAAGACAAGAGGCAATGGGTACAAACTACAGCACAGCAGATTTAGATTAAATATCAGGAAAAACTTCCTAACTATAAGAACAGTAGGACATTGGAACAAACTGTCTAGGGAAGTCGTGGAAGCTCCTTCATTGGCGGTTTTCAAAAAGAGGCTGGATAGCCATCTGTCTTGAGTGGTTTAGACACAGCCAATCCTACATCTTGGCAGGGGATTAGACTAGACCCTTTCAGTACCTTCTAACCCTATGGTTTTATGATTCTATTAATCAAATACTGTCCAGTAAGGTAATTTTGGCCTTTCGAGCCAACCTTCCAGTAGTGTCACATTCTGAAAGGGTGTGGAAACCTGGCAATGTGACAGCTTTTAATAGTCCAAGTGATAGGAACACATCTCTAAAGGATATACAGCAATTCTCTTCCCCAGCAACAAGCGCAAAAAAACAGATTCTTGCAGAAATTTTGGATAGTAGCTCATGGAGACCACTAGAACATTTTCCTGTGCAAATATCTGGAGTTTAGTAGCACCTCTATATGAGTATGTCTCCATAGCAAATCAAAACCTGCAGCTGGCCCTTACGAGCTGACTTGGGCATGGGCTGTGTAGACTTCTGGGCTTGGACATGAACCCGGGCTCTAGGACCCTGCAGGGTGGGAGGGTCCCAGAGCTCAGGCTCCAGCCCAAGCACAGAAGTATACACAGCCAGGAAACAGCCGTGAAGCCCGAGCCCTGCGAGCCCAAGACAGTGGGCACAGGCTGCAGTTTTTTCTTTGCTGTGGAGACATACCTGGTGTGGCATTGATGGCATGCAAGACAATTTTAGCATCAGCCTCCTCATGGAAAATATAAACTCCAATGAACAGTGTGGGGCAGCAGCTTCATTACGCTATGGGATGACAAAATTCTTCGCATGCTGGAGCATTTTTCCTGTAAAGTATTGGGTTAACTCATCCTTTGGATGCGTATGAGACAGTAGCTTCTTCATTGTGACATTGGAGATGTTCGTGGAGTCACTGAATTTGTATCGGACACATGCAGTACCATGGAATCTCTTCTTTCTGCTAATTTTTAATTGATTCCTCTGCATTCATGTCAAACTTGTGAACTTTGTCATAGGTCCAGTATTTTCTCTGTAGCCCCATAATTAGGGTGACCAGATGTCCCGTTTTTAAAGGGACTGTCCCGTATTTAAGCCCTTCTGCAAGTGTCCTGACTTTTTCTTAAAAAGGGGCAAATTGTCCCATATTTTCTGTCCCCTGCTCCCCCTCCCCCCCAATCCGTACTGGTGGGTTCTGTGCTGGCCAGATCCCTGCTCGCTAGCCACCTGCCCACCAGCGGTGAGGGAGGGATCCAGTGGCCAACGATGCGGGTAGGTGTGCCAGGCTGATGGCGGGGCCCGTTACATGCTTCCTCTTTCCTCTCCCTGCTTTGCCCCCGCAGCCTCACTGCTCCTCCATACCCCCCACTCCAATCCCCCGGCGAGGCACGTCCCGCTCCTAGCACTGTGCAGAGCAGCAGTCCCTGGTCGGAGCGCTCAGCTCACCAACATCCTGGTTGGCAGACTGGGCCGGTGCCCCGGGAAAGCCGAAGACCCTCCTGCCCGGGGCACTGGCCAGGAGTAGTAAAACCCTGCATGTGCCAAAGCCCCGCCCAGCGCTAGTACAGGGAAGCCTCTCCACCCCTCAGCTAAGCTGTGGAGTGGCCGGGGGAGCGTGGGGGGACACAGCAATTTCCAGCCTGTTCACACCCCAAACCTGCAGGCTCCACAGCAGCCCCCCGGGAAGGGACTTAGCACCCTCTTCACCAACACCCCACCCCCCAGGTCCTGCCCACAGGGACTGCTCCGTCCCCTAGGCACCCTCTCCTGCTGAGTCACCTCTCTGGCTGCGTTCACTGAAGCCCCTGCAGTCAGGTTCCCTGGGCCCTAGTGCACAATGCATCCTTTGGGCTTAACCCCTTCCTGCCCTTGTTGTAGCTGGGGGACAGGAAGCAGCTGGGTTATGTCGGTGGCCAGCAGCAGCCTGGAGGTGTTAGCTGCCTTTCAACACTGTGTGGGCAGGAAGAGACAAGCTGCTTCCAGCCATGGGGGAAGGGGCAGGGGGGATGAGCTCTGCAAAGACATGGGCCGAGTCATCTCTTCCCCTCCCCTGCAGCTGGAATCAGCTCCCATCCCTTCCCTCCTGCACCGTGCCGAAAGGCTGCTGGCAGCCACATTCTCGTGTGAACCCTGGCAGAAATCTGGAGAGAGGGGGCATGTGACCCTCCGTTCTCCCCCCACACGTGTTGCCTCGGGAAGACACAGTGCCAGGTATCAGGAGAGGCGGGTCTGTCCTGGGGGCCCAGCCAGGCATGGAGGGAGGAGAGCACTGGGCAGAGAGGGTTGGGTCGGTCGGTCACATACCCCCTCCCCACCACATGTGAGAGACGTGTGTGTCACCCCTCCCTGTGTGTGTGTGGGGGGGGGATAGGGGTTAAGAACATAAGAACGGCCATACTGGGTCAGAACATAAGAACGGCCAAGGGTCCATCAAGCCCAGTATCCTGTCCTCTGACAGTGGCCAATGGCAGGTGCCCCAAAGGGAATGAACAGAAAGGTTATCATCAAGTGATCCATGCCCTGTCACCCAATCCCAGCTTCTGGCATACAGGGACTAGGGACACCATTCTTGCCCATCCTGGCTAATAGCCATTGATGGACCATGAATCTATCTAGCTCCCTTTTGAACCCCGTTATAGTCTTGGCCTTCACAACACCCTCTGGCAAGGAGTTCCAGAGGTTGACAATGCGTTGCGTGAAAAAGTACTTTCTTGTGTTTTGTTTTAAACCTGCTGCTTATTAATTTCATTGGATAACCCCTGGTTCTTCTGTTACGTGAAGGAGTAAATTATATGTCCTTATTCACTTTCACCACACCATTCATGATTTTATAGACCATTATCATCTCCCCCCTTAGTCATCTCTTTTCCAAGCTGAAGAGTCCCAGTCTTATTAATCTCTCCTCATACAAAAGCCATTCTATACCCCTAATTATTTTTGTTGTCATTTTCTGAACCTTTTCCTATTCCAATATATTCCAATAAGGGTTTGTGTGTCACCCTTCCCCATGTGAACCCTAAAGCCTTAAAGTTAAGAAGGTAAATATACTGCTAGTTGATTCTTTTTTTCTTTTTAAAAGGGGCTCAGTCAACTTGATGTTAATTTGAATGTTTGTACGATTGATTGCTGTTGAACTCACTTGAATAAGAGTGATTTTGCCAGGTGTCCTGCATTCAGTATAGGGAAATATGGTCACCCTACTCATAATGAAATGTTCATCCAAATCTCAGCAGGTGTTACCAATTGCTGGTTTGTTGAGAACTTGTACCTCAGCCATACCATCTATGATTGCTATGCTGAAAGGCCTCTGCTGGCATAAGCTACATTGTCAATAGGCTGAGGAAGACCATACAAGAAGTGCACGAGTTTGTTTTTCACCTGGCACATATGCATTGTTCGGTTTCATTCAAACATTGATTGTGGTCCAATGAGAGCTCATACTTTCCCAAAGCCTCATGTAGATCATCATGCTGAGATCTGGACATGACAAGGAGATGAGCAAACAATGACCTGTCAAGGATGAGCTCTGTACCTGCCTTCTTCACTCAGTATTTGAGCACAGCTGGAGTCTTTTCATCTTCACTGGACGCCACAGATTAATGGAGCCCCAGAGAATTCTTTGGGTTTTGAAGGTTTCATACACGTAATGACCCAAAGTATCCATTTGACTGACTGACACATTTAGCTATCTCATCACTGAAGACTATTTTCATTATGATATTAACGAGCTCTAGTCCATCACACGAGAATAGGTTGCCAGTGTGAGTAAGCTCATCCTGTAGCTTTAAAA